CCAAAAGTTACAATCCATCACTTTACGCAATTTCTCCATCACCTAACACCTTAAATCACAAGAATCCAAGTCTATATCACATAAAGAACAGAGTGAGGAACCAACAGAAGTACCACAATAGAGGCTCTCTCGCTTGGACAAGGCAAAAAGGATCCTGATATATGCTTTGAAACCATCGCTACTTCGCGCTGACACCCTCTCTTGCCTTCTCTTCCTAAACCTCGTCTCTAATTCGCCTTTCGCAACTACAGCCTTTCAGATGGAGTCACGTCTAGGGCTAGAAAAGGAAGCAATGTCAGAATCACAACCGACAAGGATAGTCGAAGCTCCCGTCTTTCTCATTATTCACTTCATTCACCCTGCTCGTAGGTTCAGGGCTAGCGAGGGAAGCAACGTTGGAATTGCAGTGCACAAGGATCACCGAAGCTCCAGTCTTTCTCATCTTCATCTACCTTCCCTAAAAGTTACAATCCTTCACCTCCCGCAATTTCTTCGTCACCTTACATTCTAAATTACAAGGATCCATCCCATAAATAAGAGAGCGAGGCAACAACAGAAGTCACACCCTAGAGGCTCTCTCGCTCAGACATAGCAAAAAGGAGCCCGATATACGCTTCGAAACCTTCACTGTTTCGCGTCAACACCCTCTCTTACCATCTCTTTCTAAACCTCGCCTCCAATTCGCCTTTCGCAACTACAGTTTTTCAGATACAACCGCGTCTAGGGCTAGCGAGGGAAGCACTGACAAAATCACAGTGCACAAGGACCGTTGAAGCTCCCTAATTTCTAAGTATCCGCTCTGTCCACACTGCTAGAGTATCCAGGGCTAGCGATGGGAGCAACATCGGAATTGCAGTGCACACGGACCGCCAAAGCTCTGGTCTTTCTCATCTTCCTCCCTACTTGCACTAGTAAGTCGCAACCCACGCTTGTCTTCCTCCCTCTTTTAGACTACAGTGATCAAAGTCCTTCCACCCCATGATTGAACCTGCCTTTTGTTCGATCCAGACTCCTCACTCCACCGCCGATGACGTGCAAGCCTCGCCACTTCTTCCCTTTTAACGTGACCCAACCGTCGAAGGATTTTCCTTAGCCTTGAACAATCCCCTCTCTGATACTAAATTGATTTGTAAACAAAAAACTTGTTTATTGAATAATGACTTAGTCTTTTATAGAGCCTATACATTTTTATAAATAAGTCCCTAGGCTTCTCTATATTCCTTATTACTCAATGGAACCCTAAACTATATATAGTTCTCAACAACTAATGTTAATCCTTGCGGAGTATCTCGCATGGGCTCAATTTAAATTGCTAGCACCATGAATGTTGAGACTCCTTTGCGAAGGCTTCATCCTCTCCTGTGTCACTATCCCCTCCTTAAACTTCTCTATACTCAGTGAAGGAGATCTCTCTTTTATCTGTCCAATCAGATGCCACATGGCCAAAATTGTAACACATGAAGCATTTACTGGTAAGGATGAATTTGGGAGTACTAGTGGCCTCCAATTTTCTCCACTCTATATGTGTTCCTTCTAGCTGAGTTGGTTTACGATTTCCATAGGTTGTAGTATTAATGCTTAATCATGGAGTTCAACTCTACATTTAAGATGTAGTTACCAAGCGAGGTTGCAACTGGTGAAGTTTCAATAACATATCCCGCCTGCAATGTATGGGTAGATACTTGTGTTGCATCTCCCATTTAGATGCAGTTACCACCGCAATAGAATCTTCATTAACTTGAAAATGATTAGCTTTACCCTTTTGTCTGTTCGAATAACCTTGTATTTAAGGACCTATTCCACAGCTTGAAGCCATTCAATGAAATATTCTAGATTCCTGTGACAGTCAAAATCCGAAAAATCCATTTTTACTTCAAGATCTTTGCTCCTCTGATATTCCATGAAAAATCCTTGTGATAGTGGTTCTTCATCAATTTGTTCTGTCGAATTAATATTGTGTGTACAGGTGGGAAAATATTTATGTATGTCATACGCACACAGTTTTGCATGTGTAATCCGGATATTTGGGGGGTATTAGAGGGTTATGTCGGTGTTATTGGGGTTAATATCCCCAATAACCTCACAAAACCCCTGAATGATAGCAAAAAATATGAGCGCGAACCGTGGAAAATATTGATAGGTTATTGGGAGGTTATTAAGATGTTAATGAGGTTAATACCCTCAATAACGTCTTAAAACCCCCCAATAACTGAGTTATTGTAAGGTTATTAGGGGGAGTACACACGTAGTTCTGCGTGCATACACCACACGTAAATAGTGCTCCTACAGGTGACATTTTCAGATCTTCTCCTCTCAAAAACAGCAAGCCTTTGTTGCAGCTGGAGATATTTCGGCTGCATATTTTCCATAAAAATTTTTTGGACATCTCGTTTTAGATTTCTCATAGGTAGCATTATGTCGTTTTCTCCCAACCATGCTTTCGACAATAGTCTCCTCGATGGTGTAGTTAGTGTTTAGGAGGTGAAAGGTATGGGTTGGACTAGAGTGGGAAAAATAGTTTTAGGGGCTCATTTAAAAAATTAGCAAGCAAGTTGAATTTTGGATTGACATTGGGCTAGGTATTGGTAGATTTTGGTAACCTTATGATAGGATTAGAATTAGGCTAACTCTAATACAAAATGATACCAGGTTAACCAAATGATAATAGAGAAAGCAAATTTTATTACTGAAATGAAATAGGAAATTACAACAAGATAACTAAAATAAGAAATAATAAGAAATAACGATGGTGGCCAGTTATGCGGGTTAGAAGACATTAGGTGGACAAAAAGTGGTGGTAGGAGATCGGAATGGGTAGGATAGGGTGTTGGAGATTGAAAGTTGCAGTAGGGAGAGGTTTCTGTGCATTGGGTTAGGGGCGGCTGGAAAGGTTGTGAATTGTAGGAAACGACAAGGGGAAGGCAGCAATAGTAAAGATGGCCAGGAAAAAAAGGCTACATAAAAGGGAAGAAGTTAGGTGGGGTTGGGAAGGTTGACGGCTGTAGGAAACAACAAAATAGGGGTTGGAATAACAATGACACCAAAAAGGAAGTGTTGGAACAACAACGACAACAAAGATGGATGGTTGGAACATAGGCAACTGTGAATATGGAAAGTTGGAATATTAATGGCAGCAAAGAGGAGGGAGGGGAAGGTGATGTCGACGCCTACGGAAAAAAAAATAAAAAAAGGCTACTCAGAGCGGCTGCAAAAATGAAGGGTGATGGCAAACAACGTGGAAAGATGTGAAGGGGTAGAGGAAGGATATTCACCACCTCATACGCGAGATATAGCCAGAGCACAACTACTCCCTTGGCTACAACTTTAGAAGAGAGAAACGAACACATGGGCGATTGTCCTCAACAAGTCTGACAATAAAACTAAACTTAGACACCAAGGAAAGCAAATAAATAGGCTGAGAAAACTAGGAGTGTGCCCCACTCCCATTGGGTTGCTCTTCCATGCTTGTAAGGACCGGCCAACTGGCCCCTTAGGCACCCAGATTGAATAGGTCCTAGTGCACCTAAGCTTCCACGTACCCATGCAGGCACAACACCAGCGTCAAATACTGTTGAACGATCATACTTCAACTTTATTTTTCTCATTTGTGTTTTTCAATGTATTATGCAGCTCTAGGAATTGCTCTTCTTGTTCTTGTACCGTTTTCTTATTAAAATATTGCGCTACATATATATTCTATTTGTTGTTAAAACATGCGTGCGAGTGAATTCCTTCCTCGTGTGCTATGAATAGCTATTTGCGTACATCCCAATCAATACAAGGGAGCCTTCATGGACTATTCATGTATTTTGGAAGCATTGGCATAATAAGAAATGGGTGAAGGTGTTGTGAGTCCATATCTCAAGAAATTGCATAAGAATTTTAACATTGTCATTGCCTTTGACCGGATAGCTTAGAGGTCAATATTGCCATCATATGTCTGCAAAGAATAAAATATGGGGAGACTATTAACCTGTTGAGAATCTATAGAAATGAACACCGATGTAGAGATAAGGAAAGATAGAGCTTTCCACAATTGCCTCGCAAAGGCACATCAATCGCATTAACCAAGGAAACTGAGACTAAAGCATCGAATCTTGGAAAGAGATTTCACAGGTGCTGAAATGGAAAGAAGTAAATGGGAAATGGGGCTAATTAATCAAATTAATAGCCCAAAATGCTTTGTGACAGACTTCTTATAGTTAGAAATAGCTTAATCTTCAACTTTGGAGGATGAAAAACAAGGAATCATCCACTAAACTATAGTGGTAACCGAATCAGGGACAGAAGTGCCGAGAAGAAGCAGCGTGCCAATAGGTTCATAAAAGGAAATGGTAGCCTGAAGTTGAAGAGGACCAAAAAAAAAAACAGTGAAATAAGAAGTATATATAAATCAACTGAAAAAAATCACATAATAAAAGTCAAAATAAATACTGGAAGTTCTAATAAATTATGCCACGTCTATTAATTTGAGAACACAAGCACGCTGAGAGGAAGTCATAACCATCATCCAATTGAAGAGGAACTCACATTAATGAAACATTTATATTTAACTTCCTAAACAAGCCAAGCATAGTAAACATCATTTTCAATCAAACTTTTTTTTTTACAAAGCCTCAATGCAGCAGAGTTTTTTCCCAAGGCAATAATATTTTATAGAAAATTCTGCCTACTTTGTAACAGGTCTTTAACATCGCATTACTGAATGAGAAATGAGTGGCACCAATTTGAGGGATTTCGCTTTCAATATTCGGCTAAACTTGGGGCAGCTTTAGTTTTCTATTTTAGCATTAAAAGATCATTTTTCAACCAAGGTTTCAAATAAGTTTTCCCAGAAAACAGATTTTCAGTAACAATTTGAAAAAGCCACGAGTAAGCTATTATTCAACGAACACCAAATCTGCCTCAGCTTTGTACAACAAGAATTGAGGAATAAAACCAACGCATGCAACAAACAAACATGGTTTAAAGAAAGACTGTTTCAGCATAAAACAGGATACCATTTTATGTAGTATTGACAACCACCGTGAAGGACAAGTCGGGCAAGATGCATAAAGAAGTCTTGTAATTGTTGAACGGACCAGAATAACAATCCTGCTAAACAAACGATTTCTCATTAAAACTAATCCAGATGATACATGGGATAAACCAGCTTAGTAATTAAAGTATAAATGACCATCTGCATGGCATGAAAAAATTATGAAGGATGCATCTATTATACAGAAATTAAGCAGGCAAGTTGGTCCCTTGGATTCTAGTCCATAAATCTCACAAAAAAAAAAAAAAAACCAGCAAATGTCAAGTAGCCTGCCCACTAGCCACTTGGTATCAAAATAGAGGGTGGTTAAAGCACCTTACTACCTATTTTCTAAATTACTTCAGTGTTAAGTGAAGCTTTGCATTTGTTCCAAATTTAACTGCAGCATCTTCTAAGTGATCATTCCAGGTTCAGCTGCCTTTCCTCTTTATTTAAAGCAAAAAGAGCATCGATATGATACATAGACAGTGCAGCTTTCAAAGAATGAAACCTTACGAGTTTCGGTTTTTTTTTTTCATCTTTCTTTCTCATTTATGAATTGAGCAACTCAATGTAGTAGTCTATATGTAGCCAAATTTGCGCTAAATTTTCATCTGATCTTTTTTTTTTTTGTATTAGAATAAGGAGATCAGGTATGTGAAGAAGAGAAAGAGACATAATGGACCTGGCAACTAGGTTTGAGAAACCAAACTAACGCGAGGTCTTGGGGCTGAACCGTGCCCCAAGCGAGAATTACTTCCCTTCTGTTTCCGTTTCCCGCCTATCCATCTTCAATTTATATGTGTGTTTGTTGAGTTAGTGTTGTGTTATGTTGTAGTTATTTCAGATTTCTACCTGGATGTGTTTTCCATTGCCAGGGTATCCAAGGACAGATGATGTTCCATTTGTATCCTGATCCAAGGTAATATTTGTCATCTCTAATTCCCATCCTAACTTTCCACCTCCACTGCTCTTTTCCACCAACCAGTTCCTTGTCCCCTTGAACTTACCACCCCTAACTTTCCAAATTCCTATTGTCTGTGATCTTCCCTTCGAGCAACCATTTCCACTTCTTACTGGTTCGCTAGTCATTCGCCTCCTTATTGTGTTGTTGTCGACCCGAGCCTCTCCCTTGCCCACCTTGCAAATTCAGCCTTTGTATTCCCCGATTCCTACTTGAGGTTACCGCATGCTCCACCCGCACCCTCTCGCATGCTAACGATCGCAGTTTGCCTCCCTACTGCGCCTCTCTTGGTATGCTGACTCTCCCTCCCGCATGCAAACAGTTGCAATATAACTCCCGACCGTGTCACGGGCCTGCTCACCTCGCAATTGGAGTCGCAACCCTCCCTTCTGACCCTAACTAAACCACCAGCTCCCTCCTACTACCGCCCATATCCTTCCTCGAGCCTCACGCGACCTGTCGAAGGGTTGTCGCCTTCCTAGCCCTAGGGGGAATTCGGTTGCTCGTTGTGTTTTGTGTCCTTGCTTTGACATCTTGATTGTAACCGTTAGGTTTGAGAAATAATATTTTGCATTCCTATCGGATTTAGATTAACTCTGACATCACAAACATAATTATTACTTATAGTTTTAGGGCACCCTTTACATAGAAAAGGTCTTCCATACATGCTAAAAATCATTTGAACTAATATGTGAAAAAAAGTATCATTTGACTAAATATTATTTGACTATGACGAGCTAGCATTTAACTCAAGCCAAACGAAACTCTACTTAAAGAAATAGAAGGTGACATTGTCACACCCCAACTGCCCGAAGGTTGCCGCCACCCTCCCTTCTGGCCCTAACTGTGACCACCAGCTCTCTCGTACCACCGCCTTCCCATATCCTTCCTCAAGCCTCACGCCACCTATCCAAAGATTGTTGCCTTGTGAGCCCTGACAGAATTTCAATTGTTCATTGTGTTTTCTATCCCTGCTTTGACATCTTGATTGTAGTTGTTGGGTTTGAGTAATAATATTTTGCATTCCTATCGGATCACAAACATAATTATCAATTATAGTTTTAGGGCACCTTTACATAGAAAGGTCCTCCATAAATACTAAAAATAATTTGAGTTAATATGTGAAAAAAAAATCATTTGACTAAATATTATTTGACTCTGATAAACCAACATTTAACTCAAGCCAAACGAGATCTACTTTTAAGAACCCCACCCCCTCGATTTAAGGGTCAATTGAAGTGCACCAGAGGCAAATAATTCAGTCAAACTAAATTCTAAATTCTCAAACAATTTAGTCAAACTGAATTGCAGAATCAGGACCCAGTGAATAAGAAACTAGCCTAACTAAATTATCACGGCATACATGATATATTGTATTTCATAATCCATTCATATTCATACCCGCAAGCGTAGAAAAAACATAACCTCAAAACATGAAAACTATACAGAGCTACTAAATCCAATATAAATAAAATATATACCAAAACATATGTACAAGCTCCCAAAATTATAAGTGCGAAAGTTATACAAATCACACCTGGCTACTCTCCTAAGTGCTCGTTGCCCCTATCTAAAAGTCAATAACGTAAAGTGAGCAACAATTAGATTAGAGATATAATCAAATCTAAAATAAGATTTTATACACAAAAAGAAATCAGCGTGCATGCTCATATGCCATTATACATGTCTACACATAAATCAAAATATGATAAAAACATAAAAAACATTAAAAGAAAAGTGAATAGTGCAGAAATCAAAACTGTTGTACAAACCTATAAGTCATAAACATGAAATCAAAAGTATAATAAAAAATATGTTCATAAATTGTTTATCATATGTAATCAAAACAATGTCATTTCATAGGTGTTATTTCGTAATAATGTCACTTGTAAATATACATATCTCAATTTTTTTCATGTTCTGTCACCATGGGTCGTCACACTGCCCAAAAGATCTATACACTATCTATAAAGAATGAGCCCCCAACATAATAGTTATCAATATCCCCTCTGATACAAACGATTCTCTACGTTTTGTCGCCTCCTGATTGCAAGTGTCAAATGCACAACAATGGCAAATGCATAATAGTTATCGATATTGTAAGAAAAGTTAACTGACATTCATACATTTCAAGCAGGTACTCATTTACAATACACAAGAAGTCTAAATGCAACAGTGTCAAATGCTCAATCACATAAAACCAACAAAAAGTTATTTTTCTTAAATTAACAAAAGATTAATTCACCTGATTTGACGGAGCAGCCATACAACGAGTTTTCCCATGTTCGTCTTAAGCTCGTCGTCTCGTGTAAACAACCTGGGGTTCGTAGGCAACATAGGATTTCATAAAATTTTGTTCAATATGTATTAACCCAAAACATAACTTTTATACCCAAAACATACCTCAAATGGCCTCCTCTACATAAATTCATTTTTCTGAAATCGCCTATTTTCTCCCCAACTTTTTCTAACACATTAATCTCATTTCCCACTCATTAATTTCGTGCTAAAAACCATATACAAGCACGAAAATCACTTTCGGCACTTCCAACACAAGTTCGTGCTTTTGTCGGCCACCGAAAATGAAATATGCACAAAAATAGATGCAAACATCAAAACAGAAGAAAGAGCAAGGAAATGAAAGTTTCAAATAGCATGAAAAAGGAATTCACACTGATTGAAACCACACCAGACGTGCGGCTTCCTTGGTGTCGCCCAACCCGCCTGCTCGCCCCTTGCACTATAGCAAGGGTCGCGAGATACTTGCCGAGCCACAACCGAGAAGGAGAATAGGGAGGAGAAAAAAATTGGAAGAGGAATTTCGAAGCTCTAGCAACCCCCAATCAAACTAAATATTGCAAAGTAAGTCGGCTGGGAATAATAGATGCGGGATTAGGGAGAAGATTAGGTTAATGAAGGTTTAATTAAAGTAATTAAATTTATAACTTCAATATTTTATATTTTCTCATCCGTTCATAATTTGCACACAGTACTTTATAACAAATTGATCAATTTAATGCGTGGAATTTTATAAACTTATTTCAATTGAATTCTGAGGATGGAAAATTTGGGGTATTTTTCAAATTTGTAGAATTTTACCCAGTTTCGCGAAATGTGGGCTTTACATGCATACATAGTCGTTGTGGAGGTTGACTTGGATAGTGCATAACTCTTGGAACACTTTAAACAAGATGGACATCACAGCCAAACTATCCTTATAAAGGTTCCAGAGAAAGGACTTTTATCATGACATGGTTATGGTGATTAGACCCATCACAAATTCTTTTAGTCTTTTGAAAACTTACTTAAAATAGTTAAGCCTTCCTCTAAGTTCTAAAGTGATTAAAAAAACCATTGGACTCCAGCAAAAAAAAAAAGCCTTCATGAAAGAGTAAGTTCCTTTCTAAAGGTGGAAAGATTCATTTGATCAACTTTTTCTAACTTTCTAACCCTTTGAGCTTCTCCTTGTTGTAGATTCTGAAATTTTTCATCAACAAAACCAATCATGTAAGAAGTTACTCATGGAACAAAAATGATGAAGATAAAGGTCTTGTCCTGATCAAACAAAAGAACATATATAGACCTAAGAAATTTGGAGGTCAAGGCGTTTTAGAACCAAAATATATTGATACTATAGTTAACCCGAGCAAACGACAAATATTTATTATTGAATTCAAATGGTTACAATGACGATAAAACAATTCAAACATATAACTAGCAAGAGACAATGATGACTCAACATACATAAGGAAGAAACCAAAATGGCCCTTTTTATAGGAGTGCGATAGATCCGGACGGTGGAAAGTAAACTATTGTAGGGCTAATAGTTTGCTAATGCTGTGGTGCTGGAGGGACAACAAGGGGAAATCAACAGTCTGCAGAAAGGAATGGGGATAATTGACGTCCCGCTGGAAAGTGCAGGGGACGGTGGACTGTGATGGAAAGGTAACGATGATCATCTTGACAACACCTGAAAGGTGGACAGTGGTCGGAAAAAGGTGACGATGTTCTGGACAGCAGCTTGAATGGTGAATAGTGACCTGAACCTGAAGGGTGGACAACAACCGGAAAAGGACAACGACGGTTTGGACAACAACCTAAAAAATGGACAGCAACCAGAAGAGGAAGACGACGAACTGGATAGCAACCTGAAGGTTGGACAACGACTCAAAGATGAGGACAAAGGCCTGGACAACGACCCGAAGAGGACTATGACAGAATGGACAACAACTTGAAAGGTGGACATCGACCAATAGAGAGGGAGAGCAGCAGAGTTAATCATCAACATGAACGCGTTATAGCCGGAGCATATTTTCGCAGTTGGATACAACCCTCAGAAGGGGAAAAGAGGCCACAAGCTGAAATCAGAAACTATTAAAAGCTAAATTCTAAGCAAGCACAGAACACATATATGTAATAGAAGCTAGTAGATAGGAATAGCAGGTCGCATGAAAGGAAAGAAAATAAAAGCAAAGGTACTATAATAGGAAAAGGCTAGGACAGAAAAGGGAAGTGGGTAAGGAAAGTGAGGGAGGGGGCAAGGAATCAAATAGAAAAAAAGGAATGGCTACAATATTGTAGCTACTACAACACTATGTTTGTGATACTGTAGCAGCTACAGTATCATGACCCAAGCTCTCGCATCAATCCTCCATAGTTGGGGGAGCTTTGACTTCATTCGTGGAAGCTTCTGGTTCCTTGTAGCACTGAGTCAAGTCTATCATGTTGATGGTAGCAGAGATATTACAATCCCCTAGGAGATTGATAATGTAGGTGTTGTCATCCCACAACACATCTTGATAGAATAAATATATAACCACTAGGCCGATCCTAAGTTGAGGCTGCATATATATGTAAGTTCCCGTAATGTAACTTTTCAGCCCTTAAAGTCTAAAACCTTCTAGGGTGAAATCTGTGGCAGATTGCATCAATCTCAAGGACCTGGATTCTATTGAAGTGTTTTCTTCCCCATCTAGCTCCTAATACAAATTTCACAGTTAGACTCCATCCCTCCTATCCAGACATCCGAGGATAGGTACCATATTGAACTCAATCGAACATCTAAATAACTCCCTGAAATCTTCCAGACATGGCACAAAAGACACATCTCTGATATGCGGGACCTCCCTCAGTAGAGGCAATTCAGGGATGAGTTTATGGATGTAAAAAATCTGAATTTCTCTTCTCAAGGTTTGTCCGATGTCTAATTTCAATTTCCCAAAATCATCGCCCCTTTGGACACTCAAAACCAATCCTGTCGATACACATCTTAATGCCTGCAAAATGCTAGTCTGAGGCATCATAATCTCTTACTTTGTCAAAATGCCCATTCATGAGATTTGTTATCTTTTAAAATAGCTACTATTACCTCAGCTAAAATCTCTATCTTGAGGTCAACTGAAATAGATGGCATGTCTTCCTCGTTGAATAAAAATTGAGAATCCTCTCTCAAGTTCACATCTTCTGAATCACCGTTCATTTCTTCAACTAGAAGTTGATTCTCCTACTTTGTGTCATTACTGTCTTCAGTGTCTATTGTGTTATTACCCCATCTTTCAAAAATGTCTGCTGGGACGAGCAGAGATGGGCAGTGGCCTGCTGGAAATTGCAGAGTATGGAGGGACACAACCAGAAGATGGCAACAATTTGAAGGGTGGACAGCGGCTAGAAGATGTCCAAGGTGGCATGGACAGCAACCTAAAGGGTGGACAGCGACCGGAAGATGCCCAAGGCGGTCTGGACAGCAACCTGAAGGGTGGACAACGGTTGGAAGAGGACGAGGTGGCCTTGACAACAACCTGAAAGGTGGACAGCGGCTCGAAGAGGAGGACGATGGTCTAGACAACAACCTGAAGGGTGGAAAACGACTGGAAAACTAACGGAGGAGTTGGGATAATCGAACCTCGGACAAGTTACCGCGGGAGTACCTTCTTGTCATCGGACAACCCTTGGAAGGGAAACATACCTTAGAGGCTACAAGATGAAATCAGAAACCATCAAAATCTGAATTCTAAACAAGCACACAACACATATATATAATAGAAGCTAGTATATAGGAATAGCAAGTCAAGGGAAAAGAAAGAAAATAAAAAGGAAAGGTAATATAATAGAAAAATGCAATGATAGGAAAGGGAGGTGGGCAAAAAAAGTTATAAAAAGGACCAGGATTCAAATAGGAAAAGAAAAGAAGCAACGCTCCCACGTCATATATTCATGTGAATTATAACTCCTTATCAAGTCACATCATGCAAATCAAATATTTGTACATTCATGACAGCTTCTAACGAAAATGTTAAAATAAAAGTTTGGATTGATATTTCGATCTAAAATTTTCCTTTAACAAAGCTTCACCATGATCTTCTAATAATGGCTCTCGATCCTAGTTGTTTGATGAGAATTCTTCTCCCCTACTTTTAGCTAGCATCTTCAAGAGAAATGGATCACTCCTTTTCATCTCTTTAATCAAATTTTAAATATTTACAATGATATATTCATATTAGACTAAATTCAATCATCGACTCACCAAAGCGGTTGTTCCCTCTTAGAGGCATTTTATTGGCTAATTCCTTATTATCATTTTAGTGCATGGGCATATTATCACTTATTCTTGGATTTGGAAAGCATGTACACCTTTCAAGTTTCAGGGTTGAAGGTTACCTTAGAAAGGCTTCCTACCATATCTCTCATTTGGGCATTAGAATCTCTACGAGTTGTCATATGTAATTCCATCCTAACTCTCTTCATGAGGAGACTATGCTAAGGGCATTTAAGACAACCCATTGCTATCGAATATCTGGAGAATTCGACCACATGATTTTCTAACACTGTCAAAGGAAATAAAAGTAATTTTGGTTCAACACACTCTCTCAAGCCTAATTTTGGATGGAATCTAGTCTAGGAAACAAAATGGAAAATGTCTTAAAGAAATGAAATGCCTTAAACCTTCAAGACAAGCCTCTAGATCATTCTAAAGCTACTTTTATCTTCCTATTCACTATATCAATAATTTTTTGTTAGATTTTTTTATATTTTAATCATAATTTTGTATCTTTTTTTCTTACTATTAAAGAAAAGGGCTAACTTGTCAACCAAAAATAAATAAATTAATGGTAAACATAAATTGTTGATGACAAATAGTATTCCACAAATTGCCAAAAATAGACAAGCTCGTTAACCTATCAAAGATAGCATGATTTGTTGAATAATAAAAGAGTAACAAATCATTAAACAATATCTCTGGAAATGCTTAGAGATGTAGAAACCAGTAATATACTTGTATTTCAAATTTAAAGAAAAATTTACAGAAACTTGCACCTCCAACCTTGACCTGCCATTGTTAGATAATAAAGAACTCAAGATGTCTCTCATAACGAAGCAAATTTCTAAAGTCTATCAATCCAATAAAAATATATTAAACTTTTACATACTCTGAGTCAGTTTCTTCATCAAGCATACGGAACAGGTCTTCTTCAATCTTCTCATTGACCATACTCTGTTTGAAAGTATTAAATAAAAAAAAGTAAGAAACAAAGACATTTTTAATGTGTACGGCATAAAGGCTCGCAAGGAACAAATGAAATGGGAACTCCCTTGAAAAATTAATAGGCCACCGTTACTCTTCTTCTCTAATCTTAAACCACATTATGAGCAACATGAATTCCACATCCTAATGCCAAATTCATGCTCTAATCATCAAACAGCTTGGTTATACATCAATAACCACAAATATATATTTGAAGCACTAAATAAACCACAAAAAGACAATTATGATCGTTGCACTGCATGATTACACAACTGAAAATGAAGTTCTCATAATGACATGGTAAACTTTTACGGAAACTGTATCAATGAAGAACTTGAAAAAGAATTCATGCCCCTATTTATAGAGAATGTCACCTACTCAAGAATTTATGAAGGATGATAGAAAAACATAAAAATGCAGAACCAAGTGAATCTATCCTTAAAAAAATGGTGGTGACAATCTAACAAAACCCAAAGCACCAGGTTACAGTGTATAAGATGAGAAGGATCTTTCATTTCTTTCTATCTTCTAGGAAAATGCATAACAAACCATGCAAAGCAAAGAAGAAATATGGCTGCAACCAATTCCCTTTCTGATTTACTAACAGTTCCACTGAGAAAGAACTAAGGTACACTATATTGTACTATGCTGTACATAATCTTTCACAGGTGTTGGTTTCATTCTTCATCTTTCTCAAATTTCATGATCCATGCAAGTAATCTCAATCGATTATAACTTGAACTGCAAAGTTGCAGCGAAACAGTATATCTTTAAGAAAGAATACTGAGGTATTTACATAGGACCAAATTTCTAATCGCCCGACAAATATGATCTCTGTTTCATAATTGTTTTGTCAGAGCAACTCTTTATTCTTAACTAAAATTGAAGAAATGGTAGCAATGACGAAAATAAGTGAAAGAAGAAAAAGGGTTGCTAAGGAAAATGCTTACAGGATATTTTTCAATAAGATGACGGAGAGTAGAGACGGCAAGATGTCTAAGACTTGGCTGTTGAAAAGAGTTATTATTCAGCATTAAGATGAAATAAAAAACAAAATGCTAGAACAAATGTAAAAAACTAATGTTCTCCTAAATTACAGTTAGAAAAATTGATGCTCACAGGGTCACCTGTCTTGAGGATAGCGTGGGCAACAGAGATTGAACATGATTGTGAATTGAAACAGCTTGTGGTGCAAAAAGTACAAGTTGTTGTGTGAATCGTACAGACCTGAAAAATGGCCATGCTTACGCAGTTGTGTACCAACCATCAACTAAAGAAAAAGAAGTCATATTTACAAGAAAAGAATATCTATTTCCAAAAACATCTTACAGCCCTCCATTTACCAACAGATTTACAGTAGGACAATAAAATATTCAAAAGAAACTTACTCAAAAAGAGTTGATATCTCCGGGCAAGCACTTATTTCTGCAATAACAGACTAAAACAAGAAAATAAATAAATAAATAAAATATTACTTTGAGGATAAATGAGATGAATGTCACTCGTTCACTAAAACAAATGAAAACTTAGTCAAACCTTGCAGCGTGAAAAGAAGGTGCTACCAGGAACAAGCTCAGGACCAAGAACTGCCACAATAGCGTTAACAATGCGTCCTATCTCTTGTCGAAGTTCCACAAACCCATTCTCCTCACCTAGTAGAATTTCCATAACAAGGAAGAGTGTTGCCTAAAAGCCAAAAGCAACGTGATATCATCATTTACGAACCATGCAGAGCAATCCTAGTCTTTTATCAAACACGGTTTCAAATAAATGAGAAAATATATACAATAGGAAGTTGTTTTCTTTCATACTGGAAAGTTTTTTTGTTAAAACAGACTCGCCAAATAATAGAAAAGATGATAAAATACAAAAGAAAAGGCAGGTTTTAACCTTGCTCACTTAAAAACTTGTAATAGGAAACGAACCTCATCATAATTCTTAAGCAAGTTTTACCAGGTATGCACCCACCAAACCCGCAAATTTAATCAAACAAAAAGGCACCCAAACTACAATGTTACCCTGTTAAAAGCACAATCGGTAACAAAGAAATTATAAGCAATTCCATCTGCATCGACAAAATTTTAGGACTTTTTTATTAGCAATTCCATCTGCCTTAACAAAGAAATTATTAGCAATTCCAACTAGTTCTCTGTAAGTTAACAAAGTCCTATTCACGTAATATAAAATCAGTAGGGAGGTAAAGAGATGAAGTTTTAAGATTTGTAATATTTATTCTATTTTCAATTAGGATATTCTACGTTTGTTTGATGTTCAAGTATCTATTTGGATAAATTCAGTATAAATTTAACTACCATCATATTTGATATCCTATTTCTATAAATACGGTGAGTTATGCTTTGTAATGAGTGATGCAACTATTAAAAAATGAATTGAAGTAGCTGTGTTTTCGTGGCCTCCCTTCGAAGCATTGATTTGCATATCGCATTAAAGCCCTCCTTGGTACTCCTATAAAAGATTCATCTTTCCCACTACACCTCTTTGTATAAGGAGGCATATAGATGATAATTACAAGAAATGTAAATAACATCAGCACAGTATTCCAAGCTCATAATAATGTATCGGCTAAATAATCGAGCCCTTCACTGGAAGACAATACACAGCATTCTTGGACAAATAAAAGGATATAAATTTTCCTAAAAACACCCTGTATTGATCCAGAACCACCAAAAAACGTGGATGGATACCATTTTTTCATGGAACCATGGAGCCACATCAATAACCTTTCTAAAAGAAAAAAATAATTCAGATGTATTCTTCCCATTGCATAGAATAAACCAAACTTTTAAATTTGGGTAATGTAATGCGTACAAAATAGGCACATTTAAATTGATCAATGCAGTAAAACATAAAGGCTATCATTATTTAATAGCAATGGGACTACAACAGTACTCCAGAAAACTCAAAAAACCATTTTGGATTTCAAAATGCAAAAGTTCATAAAATGTGTAGAACACTATAGCTAAACATCGACGAATACTGAAGAGAACACAAAATAAGAATTATAACCGTGAAGAACTTTCAAGAAGTACCTGCACTTGGGGAACAAATGATAAACCAGCAGCTTCAATGATTAAAAGCAGTGCATGCAATGACCATAACTGAAGAGTAACATTTGAACTCTTGGCTAGTGAAGAAACTGAGCTCACTGTTGCTGGCACCAAAGAAGATAGAGCCATTCCTCCTACACTGCATTCCCAACACCAAAACTAAATGCCAGATAACTTTCGAAAAAGAGCATAACGGAAAATATATAAATATAACACTGAAATTAAATGTTAAGAAAAAAATAAACACAGAATTAACAAATATCAAACTACTGCCATCATAAATGCAGACGAGCAAAGACAAAAACACCACAATTGGCAAGATTAATTATCTGATTAATTGTGGAGAGTCTTTTTACAAGTCAACCAACTGACCCCCAAAAACCATGGCAAAAACCATGTCGGGCAGGTCAAGGGGTTTAGCTGACTTGCAAAGTTGCCCACATTTAACTAAAGGAGAACGAGAATTGAAAAAGCTTTATTTTGCCAAATCAGAAAGAGATAAATGTATCTTAATTTACTAGAACTAAATGAAAATATGACACTAAATAGGACGCAATGGAGAAAAAGGATTCATGTAGCTTCATGTAGAAAAGGATTCATGTAGCCGACCCCACATAGTGGGATTAAGGCCTTGTTGTTGTTGTTATAGAAAGAGATAAATGTATCATTAAATCCAAATAATGATACCAGATATTGGATAAGCATATTGTATCAGTCAAGAATAATAAAGTCACCATATTTAGTTGCTCAGGTTCTCTTTAAAAAGAAATGAATCTGAAAACATTTCATTTTATTCTTATAAGATATCTATAACGATTTGAAATTATGAAATCACGGTCTAGAAAAAGCTTATACCAGGACAAAAATGCAATAAGGATTTAGTATAAAATTAAGGGTCTGTTTGGGGCAGCTTGTGTGTTTCAGGATAAACATCTTATCCTGAAACGTGGTCCACGGGTCGACCTACGGTCTGCGTTTAGTGTACAAAACTTAAACGCGACAGGCAGCATTTTCAAAAACGCGTAAACCAAACGGTTAGACAACGTTTTCAAAAACGTCGCTGCACTTATAAGCTGCCCCAAAGGGGGCCCTAAAGCTCATAAGAATACAAACCAGATTCTAGAACTATTCATGATTAAAAAAAAAAACTTACTAAATTAATGTTTCCTTGACATCAACTAACTTTTATTCGCATGTTTGTTGATAATAACTAGCTTCACCTATATAAAGTAAATTTATCAGAAACTATTGAAAGTTTATAATTCGTGCAACAAATGTTTTCTAACAATCAAAACTGCCGAAGTACAAACCAAACAAAAATAAGCCTGCACATGACATTCTCCACAAAATGTATGGCCAACTTGTTAACGTAAGATAAATATAAACGAAGAATGGCAGATAGTTTCTTTCAAACAAAATTTAGCTTGACACAGATCTAGCGTTCCTAGATGACATTCAAGAATCAACAAATGGTGTGTGTTTACAAGATCATAAGCAAGGGGATGCTAAATAACAACAAAAGGATTTTGAGGCGGTGCGGGCGAATGTCAAGATCAGTCCAAAAAATATAAAATTTCCCAAGCGGGAACAAATAATCAGGCGATAGAAAATAATTACTAACTAATACATCATCCAAACAAAATGAAAAATCCACTAACGATAAAAACTTAATTAAAACAAATAAATTTATATTTCTCTAAACTTACATGACTTCTATTAATGTTTTATCCTCTACTCTCGTTTATACTCAAAAAATTCGACATTACAATATTAGTTTAAATCACAGTGAGCTATAAACAACTAATAATTACTAATATTTCTACGCTACGAAAACATAAATAAGAAAATAATATGAATGTTAATTAAAAAAATATAAAACACTATTAAAAAATAAACTACAATTTACTTATTTCAAATTTTATCATTCAAGAAGGTCCACGGTATTATATTTTATTACATATGACTTTGCCTTATCTATACCTTATCCTTTACAGTAGCCATAGGAACGCCATCCAAATTATACCAATTATAATATCTTAATATCAATAACAATTTTCAATAACGAGAACCTTGTTTATGAGATGCTTGATGCTACAACATCATTCAAAACTATGGGAATAGGTGCTCGCTCAACTTCTCGTCAACTTCATCTCTCTTCTGGCTCTCGCTTTATCACATCTTCCCCTTCTTCTCCATGGTTCATCTCTGTCAAATTGAATTTCTGCTCTACAGTTTTGATTGTTGATCGCCCCCTTCTCCGTTTCTACAAAAATCAGAAACTGGTCCTTAATTTTAGAAGCGTTGCAAAAGCTAGATGCAGGCAGAAAACAATGATATCATGGGTTATGAAAATCAATGAAGATCAAACACGTGTTCTTGAAAAAAGTAACAGACACACCAATTGCCAAGGAAAGAGAAAAAGCATTCTTGAGATTAAAAATTCAAAAAAAAATCTCCAAAATATAAAAATAAAATCAAGAAATACAAATTAGTATTAAAACAACATATTTAAGTCTAAAAAAAAAAAAAAAAAAAAACCGGCTATTTAAAGG